GCCGCTGATTCCAGAGCCAAGCTCGATCACCTTCTCTTGAACGAGGGGCAGTCGCTGGTCCCGGATCAGTTGCAGGCACTCGCCAATCTGTGTGATACTAGGCATAAACACCACCAGGAGGCCATCACGCTTCAACATTGGGGTAACATGTGGGATCCTCAAGTTCGAGGAAGGCATGTCCAGAATGACGTGCGAAAGGAATGGGTCGACAGGGTTTCCCCCAGTCAATGAAGCTAGGCCAGTCTTCTTCCGCAGCTGCTTCTGCTGGGCAATCCAGTTTTCGACGGGGCCCACGTAGAAATCAGTATTGCCCGCATAAATTCCACGGCGGAATCCCCGGATGTTTTTCTCGGCCAGCGCAGAGAACTTCGGCGATACGTCGACTGTGTGAATGACGGCGTTGCGCTGAGCTCGCCATGCATCCCATTCCTCCTGTGCTGGATCCGCAATTGGCTCGGCGGGTTTCTCTCCTGTTTGTTCCGCCTCTTTTTCACTCGGCCTGGTGATACGGCCTTCTAGGTAATTGATCTGGGAGCGCGATGGACGAGGCGGAGGAGTGGTATTGGCGGCGTGAATCGCACGCGCCAGATGCAGTGTCAAGGATCCATGGCCTGTTCCGGATTCGAGGATTTCCAATGTGGGTTGTATTTCGCCTGCGGCGGGAGTGTCGACATGAATGTCGAGAAGGGAAGCAATCAAATTGGCATCCTGTGGATAAATCTACTGGGATAGCGTGAGTCCAATGTATCTCCAGGTCTGATCCGTAGGAGTGATGCGCATACCGGCGTGACCAAGCGAGGGGTCAGGGCGACATATTCTTCTAACGTTGGGAGGCTGACTCGGAGATTTAAACCTGTATATAATGAAAGTATCAGTGAAATGCCCAGAGAATACCGAGAGGTGGGTGTTATGGACCTTTGCGAGACTGTACCGTGTCCCAGACCCGTTTCCCAATGATGCTATCATGTTCCACTGCTCCACGAGGAGTCTGGAGCTTTTCACCTCGCTTCAATGCTTTTGACAATGAGGGTTGTTTGCCGTGTAAAATAACTCGGTCTCCCTCTGCGCATTTCATTAGCCCCGATGCTGGGAAGAGGGATTGCAACACAATTACCTTTTATAATGGAGAAATTCGTGTCAATGGTTCGAGGGCGCAAGGCGCTTGGTGTTGAAGTCGCACCAAAGATGCGCTGTAGGGCCTGGCGCAGACGAGACATGATATAGAACAATATCAAGTAGCTCTGAAATAAACAGAAAAGGAAAATCTGGCTGATCGAGACTAGCCTGCGGTACCGCTCCGACCCACCCCCAGTCACCGAATCGAGGGGCACATCTTTAATCTCGGCACTTGCTTTTCTTCATTCTCTGGATTGTACATATCTTTGTTTCTATTGCTATATATATACATAGCGATCATGGGCTCCAACAACCTCCCATACATGGCGACTAATCCTAAGCTCATCTTCTTCACCGACTTTGATGGGACTATTACAGTCGACGACAGTAGGTGCTTCCCCACAAAGTGCCGGTACTTGAATACTGACCAGAATCGCAGGCAATGACTTCATGGTATGTCGCATCACTACCCTCTCCTATATCTTCACTAATACCACTCAGATCGATACCCTTGGCTTCGGCCGGGAAAAGCGCCTGGTGTTGGGCAACCGGGTCCTTGACGAGACTATGAGCTTTCGGTAAGTGTTAGAGACACTGTCTATTCCACAAGCAAGCCCTAACGAGTCTTTCTTCCTTATAGGGATGCCTTCCGCGAGATGCTTGAAAGCATCAAGACCCCATACGACGAGTGCATCGATATCCTGTTAAAGAATATGAAGCTGGACCCGTACTTTGAGGAATTTTACTACTGGGCCAAGGATAACAATGTTCCCATTGTCATCCTGTCATCTGGCATGCGACCCATTATCAGCGCCTTGTTGGAGAAGTTCCTCGGTCACAAGCCAGCTAGCCACCTCACTATCATTTCCAACGAGCCCGTGAGCCGAGACGGCAAGGATATCAACAGTGAGGGTGGCTGGCAGATTGAGTACCATGATGACAGGTGAGCCACTGTCAATCCGATCACCATCCCCCCAACCTCACTGACTTTCATTCACTAGCCACTTCGGGCATGACAAGTCCCTGGAGATCAAGCCTTATGCCGCATTGCCCGACGGAGAGCGCCCCATTCTTCTGTATGCCGGAGACGGTGTTTCTGATTTGTCTGCGGCCGCAGAAACCGATCTTCTCTTCGCCAAGAAAGGCAAAGGTATTAATCTGCCCGAACCGCCTTGAACCCGGATTCCGAGACACTCAACTAACGATGTTGCAGATCTGGTGACCTACTGCCAGCGCAGGGGAATGCCCTACACGACTTTCGAGAATTGGTCCACAATCCTCTCGACTTCCAAAGACATATTGAGTGGAAAGGTGTCAGCGAGTGAGGTGGCTGCCAAGGCTTAGCTCGGCCAGTAGAACGGAGGTAAACCCGACCTGTATAGACTTGCATCTAGACGGACATGGATGTTGACGATGGGCATAAATTTCACATAAATTCAAACAAGGATAATGAGAAATATCAGTGAAAAGAGTAAGAATAGCCAAGTCAATGAATCACCAACAAACACTCAAGCATCGGGAGAAGGCTAGACCAACCCTTCAGGAGTCACCGCCTTCAGGGTCCAAGCGTCGAGGGTGAAATGCGAACTTCAATCCTACAAACTAATTATACTTGTCCTTTATATCCTAGAGTTGACCGAACTTGGTCCTCTCCTTTGCCTTATACACTTGCAATTCGTGGGCATCATGCGACAGGGCGCCTCGCTTTTCTTCAAGTCCTTGCCAGGGTGATATCTATCTCATCATGGCTCGCCGGCTAGTATGACACTAATTTACACCCTGTTAAGCCTTTTGCTAACACCTAATTTGTGTAGGTCCGAGCGAGTGTACAGCTCGGTTTATTCGCAACATTCATTATCCTCGTCATCGTCATTCTCGATAATCGATTCAGTGTCCTTCCCTCCTCAATCCATGGCCATCTTCCGTCGCATTATTCCGGCTACGTGATTACAGACGTGACCGTCACAACATGTTCTTCCCTCAATCCATTCTCGAGCTGTAAGCTAGACCCAGAAACCTGGTACCGCGTCGATAAGGACCTTTACCTGCGCTCGGGCTGGACCTCGAGTGCCTACGTTCAATTCAGGCGGAAAAAGGAGGAGGAATTGGGTCCTGATGACAAGGTGGTCATCGATTTGAAAATCAGTCGTATCACCCCCCCGTCTGAATCTGTTGGAAAGACAGAAATCGAAGCGTGGGAACCCCGACCGGGAGGCATTTGGCTCAAGCGCTCATCCTCCCGCCATGCCAGCGACTCCGAAAAGGCTGTAACCTACCTCGATGTTCTTTATGGAGCGGATGCTGTCGATCCTCGTCCCAACTGGGAAGTCAAAGATACACCTATTCTCTTGGATAGTCGGACGGAACAGTTGGAGACTCGTCTTAGTATTCGAAGAGGGCACCCGCAGGCCAAACCCAAGAAACCCGTTCCCAGAATCAACGAGAACGGAAAATTTAAGGTGATGCAGTTGGCGGATCTCCACATGAGTACCGGTCTCGGCCACTGTCGTGACCCTGTTCCTGCGGAAGCGGTCGCTGGTCAGAAGTGTGAAGCCGACCCCCGAACCTTGGAATTCGTCGAACGACTTCTCGACGAAGAGAAGCCCGACATGGTCGTCTTCTCTGGTGACCAGGTCAACGGAGAGACTGCCCCCGATGCACAAAGTGCTCTCTACAAGTCTGTAAAGCTTTTGGTCGATCGCAAGATTCCTTACGCAGCCATCTTTGGAAACCACGACGACGAGGGTGACCTCAACCGGGAACAACTCATGTCCATATATGAAGACCTCCCTTACTCTCTTTCAGCCGCCGGTCCCGAAGACATTGACGGGGTCGGAAACTACGTTGTCGAAGTCCTCGATTGGGGCAAAAGCACACACTCTGCGCTGACCCTCTATTTCCTCGACACACATTCCTACTCCCCCGACGAGCGTCAGTTCCGCGGCTACGATTGGATCAAGCCGAGCCAAACTCGGTGGTTCAAGAACACCGCCCAAAGCCTAAGAAGGAAACACCAGGAATATAACCATATCCACATGAACGCGGCATTCATCCACATCCCGCTTCCCGAGTATCGCACGTCAGGAAAGTACTTTAAGGGTGCATGGATGGAACCTCCCACTGCACCGGGGTTCAACTCTGGCTTTAAGAGCGCTCTCGAAGAAGAGGGCGTTTTGTTTGTTAGTTGTGGACAGTAAGTCACATGCTTTCTAAGATTCTTTTCTGTCAATCCGAAGACTAACTGTTCTGTAGTGATCATGTCAATGATTATTGCATGCTCGAGCAAGACGAAAATTCGAAGCCCTCTCTGTGGATGTGCTACGGCGGCGGTGTCGGACTAGGTGGATACGGTGGCTACGACGACTTCGTCCGACGAGTGCGTTTCTTCGACTTCGATAGAGGCCCCGGTCGTGTATCAACATACAAGCGTCTAGAATGGGGTCAAACGGAAGCTAAAATCGACGAAATGATGATCGTGGACGGCGGTACCGTCAACGGCCCAGACAAAGCATCCTAACAACGTCTGTCTTCTCTCTCTCTCTCTTTGTCTCTCTATTCTCCTTTCATTTTCCTCTTCCCCATCATGCATCGAGATGTCAGCGTGTCTGCACTCCCCCTGCACTCACATACTGTCGTTTCCGTTCTTGTCGGCGGCTTTTCTCTTATTTTCCTGTACATATATCTTCTTGCCCCTTGCCTCATTAGGTCGGCGTCTGCGGGGGAGTCTTATCTTTTCTGAAATATTGAAGCCATTTCTCCCAATCTTATTCTACTCAAGACCTTGTAGGCCTGGACTGTAACGTTGACTTTTCATTCATCGATAAACAAACACTACAATTAATCTCCCGTGAATATCTTACATCGCTACCAATTTGATTCCATCCTCACCACCATTTTTCGAAGAAAACTCGCTGCTCCCCGCCCTCGCCTAGAATCTCAACCAACTTCTCCACAATGGAATCAATCATACCAGGCGGTCCACATACATAGCATACCGTGCCACGAGAATCCAACTTACCATCTGTACCTACGGCCGCAGAGCGCAGATCTTGATCAGATATCTTCCTTGGGTGGATTTTGATATCCGGAGGAGACCCAGATGAGAGCAGATCAGGCGATGAGCCCAAGTTCGTAAGGAAAAGGTCTAGCGAGATCCGAAGCCGATGCGAAATCTCTTGAGATCGGACTATCTGGCGCAGACGCGGAAGAAACAGGACCTGGTCTAGTACTGCGTCTGCCGATACTGTTTCCCGGTTTTTCGGTAGACGGCTGGAGTATAGAAAGCGGATGGTTGTTGGGTTGGGGGTGTGGGGTTCGTTGTTGTTTAGGTGGGAGAGCATGGATATCAGAGGACTGAGACCGCGTTAGAATTTCCTTATGAGGGGTTGAATTCAACAAGTGAAGTCTTGGTTTGTCCTGGTGTGCGTTTGTATACCCCGAAGATAACGGACATGATGTTTGGGGAGTATCACTTACTTTATGCCAACACCACCCGCAACGAAGACCACATTCTGCACATCGTTGATACTGACTCCAGTGGGTGGCCAGATGAAGCTTCCACCAACTCGGATATTTAGCTCCTTGCCTAGGATCTCTTCCTTTGGTCTCCATAGCCATGCGGCCGATGGATTGCCTGGAGAGTCTTGTACAGCCAGCTCCACATACGGTGGGCGCCCTTGAGACTCTGAAGACGGTTCTAGCGCCTCGCCAGCCAATGAGTCTTTGGAAGCCTCTGGTGGCGGTAGCACTTGCGCATCTGCTGGGGTGGAGGTGATAGTGAAGCCCCCGGCTTGGGAGATGGAGGGAATATGGACATCAAGCCATTGGCCGGGGAGGAAGCTGAATGGTTGTTGATTAGTGTCCTGTATAATGCGTCAGTAATGCATCTTGAAAGTGCGTGATAAGATTATGCCTAGGTGTGATTGGAACCCTTGGCCGTGCGGGGCATGTATATCCAACGGCGCGAGGGGGACAACCAGCACCGAGAGTGGCAGCATATATGGGTCAAAGTTATGGGGGATATGGACATGTATAAAAAAGCAACAGATGAGGAAAGAAAAGAAATATTGCCGTACATTATTCTCTTGGGGTAGAGCGAACTGTAGTAGCCGAACGGAGGGGTTGACCTGTTCGATGTGCGACAGTCGCACTGGATGTAGTCTATTTTGCCGGGGCTCTGCAGCTGTACGCAGCTCATGAGGAATTGAGTTATCTCTTTGGGATGTCATTTGGCCTGTAGTTCTTGAAATGGAGCGGAATCCAAGTTGACTAGGTCGAATGATGCGGAGTGGAATAGTTGAGCGAAGAGCAAGCGGATACAACTGGAACGACTTCATCAAGGTATATCAGGATACGTATACGTATCACGCTACAAGGGTGTAATTGGATGGATTTAGTTGATAAATTATCAGTTTAAATGGTGGATGGAGTCTTTGAATGTGAGGCCAAGTCTGTCACGGTTTGGGATTCCCTGCTGACCACATGACTTCCTCTCTACCTAGGTACAACAACCTTGGAATTCATTAAGCCATCACTCGACAACTTGAAGAGTTGAATATGACGAACTGAGAATTATTGATGGCTATCGCTATCACAGACGAGAGAGACCAACCTCTTTTTTTTTCTCATTTTCCTGACTCCGGGGCTAACATGGGTATATGTACAGTCCACTGCATAGTCACAGATGCGACTCACATCACCCCCCACATCAGCGTTTCGCCAGGCGCTTCGCACTAAAAGCTGCAAGTTCCCTCGGATTGCCAAGGTTTGGTGATCCTATTGAGGGGAATAATGTGATGAGGGCTCTATGCAGATCAGTCATCCTATCACACCGTCTAGCGTGTGACGACCGGCGGTCTTCCCTCGATTCCCGTCGTCTCATTGGTGTGACGAGTCCGGGTTGCTACTTACGCTGGCGCTTTGCCGCCATCAAGCATTGGCCAGATGCACCTCCCAAACACACATCAATCCCTCTGCACGGTCTTCCCATGCTGATTCGTGCCCCCTCCTGCATGCGATGGCTTGTGCCTTCGTCCACTCGTTGGTCTCGAGCTCATATCTAACGCTCGTCCTCCGGGTTGCCCAGACTTGTGTTCTTCTACTTTTTTTGACCTCCCCTACCACACTGAAACGTTTGACCCTTTAAGTGCGACAGACTGTATGTCTTAGCCAGCCGGTCTGGTTAAATCGCATTGTTCAAAGATTTAATTCTTCCATAAGCGCTTCGGCTGAACGGTCAGTTTGGGAATAATAGAGTCGATCTTTATTGTGAATCCTGCAAAATCACCGCCAAAATGCAGTTTATGTTCCCCAAAAAGCACAAGCACCACAAGCTTGTCCTTTGGTTGATGGCCGGGGAGTTTCCAATCACCATCGTAATGTTGACATTGACGGGTATCGCTTCCCACAATCTATACCGGACATTGTTATGGCAAGATGGGGCGGACAATGGATTTAACAGTGCTCCGAACGAGGCACTGTATGCAGCATCGAACTACAGACCATTCAAGACCCCCATGGTTTGGTCCGCTTTGTAAGTTCCTCACTATACCCAATATTCAAGAGCTAGCCGCTGACCCTGGGAATAGTATCACCAACTACAATCTTGTCCTCGGTGTCTTGAGCACGTTCTTCCTCATCACAAAATTGCCAGTCCACTGGATGAAGCTGTTTTATCCTCCTGTTGCGGTCGCCGTCCACGGGTCCTTGATCATTCTCTACATCGTGTCAGCGGTCTACCAGGCTGGGTCTGACATGTCAGACCCTAAACATCCCCAACCAGGAGCCCCTTGGTACATTGCAAAGAGTTGCAGTGTCGCCTCTAAAAGGTCCAATATTAAATACTGCATGCAAGCTAAAGCGCTCTTTGCTGTGACCGTCATCATCATGTTAGTTTGACCTTCCCACTCTGACGTTTCTTTGCTTGCCCCCATTCCGCAAGGAAATAGTTAGCTAACAGTCCCCTCAGTATGTACTATGTAGTTATCCTCGGCTTCAGTATCCACTCCTGCTTCATCACCCCCGAAGAACGGGAAGCGATCCTGGAGCAGAGAGAAGAGCGTCGCATCGAGAAGGAATTCGAAGAAGAGATCATCAAGTCTCCCAGAATGATCCCAATGACCCCTGGCTCAATGCCTCGAGGACCAGGCATGGTTCCCCGCACCCCTGGGGTTCCGCCTATGGCTGTTGGAGGAAATATCTCACCCTTCGCACCCCGTACGCTGGCCTTCAACCGACTCGGCAATGGTAGCACCGCCTCGGACCTCCCGCTGCGGGACAACTCCCGTGTGCAGGCCCAGTACCCGCCGTCGCAATCGAATGAAGTCAGCCCGGAGAGTTCGACAGGGTCGCCAATGTACTTCCCGCCGCCCCCAAAGAAGGCTGCTAAGGCCTGAATGGACTCGGGGTTGAATTGTTGTTCGTGAGAAATTGCTTTTGTGATACCACTTGTTGTTGCCCATACATCACCTTCATTGTTTAACGGGACAAGGACGGCGTTCAGATGGGTTAGTTCCATTCCTTTGACCCTCTCCGTGGGCTTGCCTTCTATTGGCCGAACGTCTATGAGTCTTTAGTATATACGGTCATCATCTTCGGCGTTGGGCTTTTGATTTGCTCTGACTCCGTCGAAAATCATGTAATTCCTCATAATCAAGTTTTTGAGTCACCAAGGGAAAACGTATATAAATTCCGTAGTGCTTAGTACACAATGTTTGTAAAATAGATCACGGCCAGCTATATACATTGAACCAAAGAAATCAATTTCACAGGACATAACATCATCACCCATGCGATAGCGAGCATGGGGCTCATCTGAAGATCATTGGAAATTCGGCGCTCGGGGCGAGGGAGAGCATGCTTGACCAGCAAAGCGCCCGAACAACTGAGGGGGTATCTTGACTTGAACATGCAAGACAATGGAGGGAAGACCTCGGAAGGTCACCAGCCCGAGAAAAGCAAATAAACCGAGAACTGAAAAATTAGGCCGATTCCTGGCGCTTCTTCTCCTTCTTAGACCAGCGCACTAAAAAGAAAAAAAGGCAACTGGGTTAGCTCATTCCGTGCCAAGAGTAGATAGGTTACAAGTACGCCTGGGGGTTGCAGGAGGCGGTGGAAAAACTTACAGCCACAAGCATTGCACAAAGTCTTAGGCCCATTAGGCCCCTTTCTCCATTCCGGCGAGTCTGCTGTTCCGCAGTCGCTACAGACATGTTGTGCCTTGAGCCTTTTACGGCGATCACCTTCCTGAGCATTGCGCTCTTGGTCAGCAGCCGTGGTGATGTCGATATCGCAATGTATCAGACGGCCAAGGCTGACACCTGTACTGAGGCCTTGCGATCTCTCGCCCTCTGCATAGTTAAGACCCGTCATGACTTCGATGCCGTCGATGTGTGAGTAAACCTTGCGGTTATTCCGCTCTGGGTAATATCCTGTTGATTGGCCTGTGTCGGATTCATCCGAGTTCGGCCCCACAGTATCCGTAGAATCAGGATCACTAGATGTTTCCCCCGAACGAGAGGATTGTTGGACCTGGTTCTCGGTCACAGGAGCGCTAATTTCCTGCTCGCTCCTAGAGTAGGCCGCCCGAGCCGCGGTAGCATCTTCATCTTCTTCTTGCTTCAATTTGGCAATCTGTTGGATCAGACGTGCATTCTCAATCTTGTGTTCCAAAAAAGAGTCAAGAAGCTGCGAGACCTTGTTGGGACCTGGTCGGCACACGAGAAAAAAGCCAGTGCAGGGCCCGTTGGCGGGTGTGGTTCTCACTGTCGGACGCTCATCCTGATTTGCAAGATGTGGGTGGCCATAGGCCTCCATGAGACAATATGTATTGCTGGTCTTTTGGAATCGCAAATAGGTGCGGAATGATTGGTTCGCGGCGACTGAGTCGTCCAAGTCTCTCTGGAATATTGGCTGGTCGTCCTTATGAACGTACTGTGCCATAAGACTTCCCTCGAGTTGTTTTGCGCCACGGCCGGTGATATTCTTACACGATGGTGAGGCATAGGTGATTCGGCCTTCGGGGGTCAGGAGAAGTAGCATATCCTTCATTTCATCGAGAACTCGCTCTGTCCAGCCCGCATCATGTTGTACGCTCTGGTATCCCCTGTGTTGAGCACCTTGCACACCGTAGTGCCCGCCGTAGGATCCATGAACTTGCTGCTGCTCCATTGCATACCCTGAATGCCCCTCGTTGGACTCTGATCGCATCTGGGAGGTGGATAGAGGCATACCCTCATAGAGTTGTGGGCGACTTAGAGCCATCTGGAGTGTAGTATACAGAAATTAAAACGAGGGTGATATCACGGCGTTACTGATATGTTTGAGCTCTTGCGTATCCGACGTCTCTCATAAAGAGCCAGGAGATTTCCCTAAAAATCGATGGCCGCACGAGGGAACGGATATAGTTGGGTGTTGAGGATGGAATGGTTCATTATCCAAATTCGACGCGGTATGTTCGGCACATTCGGTCAAGAGGGGGGTGAACAGTGCGCCTCTCAGAAGATACACATCTTGTCACTGAGGGTCTGGATCTTGAAAAGAGAGGACCGGGGAAATAAGAGCCGGCCATTGCTGCTTGACGAAAGACCGCCGATCCCTGCCCAGGTGTGGGCCTCAGCACTTTAGTACGATCACGTGACTTCGTGTCGCCTTGACGCGGGACTATGTGACCGATCACAATCAACGGCAATCCGAGCAATTTCATTTCTCAGCTTTGTCTCTTTTTAGCTTGTATTTGATTGCATTCGATAAATCTAACGGCCAACGGGCTCAAACGCCCCTCTCAGAGCTTTTGTCCAAAATGTACGTGCTGATAATTCCCCGCCTCGTGTCGCGATGCTAACTGGATTTTAGGTGTAAGTGCAACAGATCTATACCTCGGCGAGAAAAAAAAGGATCCAACGGTCATCTAATGTACTATAGCGAAGATCGATAAGCTCTCTATCCTGGGGTACGTCTCTCCAAGTTTTTAATCCGCGTGCAACCGCTGCGGAGAGTAATTACACCCGTGCTCATCAAATCGCGCTTGTTCTAGAGTCCGCTCCTTCGATAATACGCGCAGCGAAACAATCCAGTTCCACACACCCCTCACGTTGATTGTCGGATACAATGGCTCAGGAAAGACTGTACGAAACGGGGAAATGGGCGACTAGAGTTTGCGAACAGCAGAGAACTGACGCAGATCTAGACCATCATCGAGTGTCTCAAATATGCCACAACGGGCGATCTCCCTCCGAACAGCAAAGGTGGTGCTTTTATTCACGACCCGAAACTATGTGGCGAGAAAGAGGTACTGGCTCAGGTGAAGCTCTCATTCAAGTCCACTTCCGGAGCGAAAATGGTTGCCACGCGCAGTCTACAACTTACGGTCAAGAAAACCACGCGACAGCAGAAGACACTAGAAGGCCAGCTGCTTATGGTCAAGAATGGTGAACGCACGGCTATTTCATCGCGAGTGGCTGAGCTGGACCAAATCATGCCGCAGTATCTGGGTGTGTCAAAGGCCGTACTGGATTCAGTCATTTTCTGTCACCAAGATGAAAGTCTGTGGCCAATGAGCGAACCGTCCGTGCTGAAAAAAAGATTTGACGAAATATTCGAGGCTATGAAGTACACCAAGGCCATTGACAACATCAAAGCACTGCGAAAGAAGCAGAATGAGGAGCTTGGCAAATTTAAGATCATGGAGCAGCATGCGAAAGAAGACAAAGATAAAGCAGACCGTGCTGAAAAAAGATCCGTCAAGCTTCAAGATGAAATCGAGGCCTTGCGCGAAGAGACCCAGCGGATGTCGCAAGAGATGCGGCGCGTTGCGGAGCTTGCTGATAAAGCTTGGACGCAATCGGAAAGTTACGCCCAGGTCCTCGGTGCTCTTGAGGGCAAGCGCATCGAAGCCAAAAGTATCCAAACTACCATTGACAACCTCAAGAGACATTTGGTTGAGCTTGATGACTCTGACGAATGGCTTGAATCCACCTTGGAGCAATTCGAAACGAAGCAGATCCAATACCAGCAGCAAGAAGAGTCACAAAAGGAAAACTATATGGAAATTAAGGACCGGATC